AGGCAAGGAAATAAACTTTATCAGGAGCGTGCCCAAAACCCCGACTTATTCGCTTCGAGCTACTGCGGGAAACGAGGTGGAGCGACAACAGTGTACTAAGCTGTTCGTCAGGCGAACCATACTAACAAGCCTCCATCATCGCGTAGGAATGCATAGGCACGTTGTAACCCAGCAAGAGTAGCACACCACACAACTAGTACCGGAATCAGAGACAACTTTTCACTAAGAATATGTTCAAGATGAAATGCCAAATACCGCAGACTAGCAGTGGCTTTCACAGGAAAATCATTTAAAATATTATTAGACAAATATGCTGGCATGTATAGTTTACCACTACCATACGCTGAGAACCCGTGGCATCAATAACATATCATAACGCCTGTGTATTACCTGGTCACTTTATCGATCTCTGATATCTGACTCCGAATTTATATACGCGTCCAGATACACTATCGCCTGTTTATTATTCCCGACACTGCCGATCCACCTGCGTCAGACAGTGTAAATACCAGGGGTTAATGCTAAGTGTATATCAGGATATTGTAGCGGTCAACGAGGAGGCAAACGTCTTAAATCAGTATAACTAAACACAATGTTCAATTATGAGTTGTTAAATTTACCAACACAATACTGCATCAGTATCATGATACTCTCAAGAAATAGGGATAGCGTTTATTCTAGGCAATGGATTAACACTTCTAGTTATTCGGCCGTTGAATATAAACAGTCACTACTAAATTAGAAGGGGAATAACAAATATAGTTGCATAAAAGTAAGGTGGACTCATAGTTTAGCACTAAGCATCTTCAAAATGAATTAGATGATCCATTTCAACATTTATTCAATTCTCATATTTTTGTTTCCTATGTTACCTTCTGATATTCATTTCTGTGTTACTTATATTAATTATGAAAATATTCTGACTTTTACAGCGTTACAATCATGTGAAAGGATAGTTTAACTCAACCAGTTAAAATGGAAATTGGTTTACTGCTTGAAAAGAATTTGAGCAGTCACGTTATATATATCGGGATATCGTTGTGGTCAACCAGCAGGCAAAGTTTTTTAAATCAGTGCAACTAAATGAAATGTTCAGTTATGAGTTCTTAAATATACCAACACAGTACTGTGAACTAAATGCCACAGCTTCCGCAATCTTGACTTTGCAGTGACAAAGTACTATTAAGCGTAAATCCCCTGTATCTTAGTTTTTCCAACATACAGCATCTTTTTCCTATTTGTTGCCTGGTCTCTTCTGATTAGCATAATTTTATCACCCTATGCATACACGAGATGTAAAAGTGCATCAGTCGCCCCAGCAGTACTACAGTCTCCTCACACTCCTAGTCTAGACACTGCAAAAGGAAACGACCCACAAAACAACCTCATTCCTAAGGGCTAGACTCAGGGAGGCGGAATATCCTTCAGGGCCCACCGAAGAAACAGAACCAAGCAAAAAGAAAACAACCTTGAGGCCTATAGCTGGAGTTCAAACCTGATAGCCTACCATATTCCCCTATAGATACTGGATATTGCATCACTGTTATTTCTATCATTCCCACTATAGTTTTCGTGCTTCCTCCTTCTCCCTCACAGTTTTTCGGATTGGTTGTTTGAGAATGGGAAGCTGGGAGCCTGTAATAATTATTTTCCAGTGGATTTCTGTGCTCGTCTGATCCCCTTTTTAACGAGTCGGTTGATGATGCGGACACCACGTCTTCTGGGGGTCGGTTCCAGGCGCTGATTATTCGACGCGAGAACCAGTGCTCTGCGGCGACCATGTTCGTTCTTTGCTTTTGTAGCTCACCACTGTGTCCTCTGAGGTGTTCCGACCCAGTGGGAAGTAAAAGAGAAGGTAGATCAGGTTCTAAGTCATTTCTGAGAATCCTTTATAGCGTGATTAGGCCTCCCCCCTGTTTGAGATAGGACAAGGTGGGGAGATTCGGCTCCTTAAGTCTTCATGGCTGAAGGCAGCCACTCGTGTGATCCCTGTGATAACTATCCTGAACTCTTTCTAGAAGGTCTGTGTCACCTTCCAGATAAGGATCAGCCATCTGTGTACAGTTTTCTAATCTGGACCTCACTAAAGACGCATTTAAGACGGTGAACATGTCACCACTTATTTTCGCAAACATTCTACTTAATGCCCAGCAAGTCATAAATTTCTGAGCTGCTGCCAATCGACAGTGAGCCGTGGTTTTCAAGTCATAACTCATTGTGACTCCTAGGTCATTGTGGGTCAGTGCTGACGGTAAACAGTTCCATCAGTATCGTAGGTGTTGCCGCATGTGCCCCAAGTGCATACTCACATATTTACATGCAATGATAGGCATCAGCCACATCTCTGACTGGCTGCTGAGGTCTGCCTGAAGTGCAGGTATACCCTAATCGTTCTTAAGTTCCCGCCAGATTTTTACATCATCAGCGTAGAGAACCATAAGAGCTTTCCTGTTATTTAGCAGCTTATTTACATGCAGGAGAAGCAACTGGGTCTCAGGACCATGCCATATGGCACTCCACTCACTACCAACTTCCAAGTGGAGGGTCGGGAATTGATCCTAATTCTTCTTCTCCTACCAACAAAAAAGTCTCTTATACATGCAAGCAGACTGCCGGTGACTCCAGAACTTTCTAGTTTTCCGAGAAGCCTGGAATGAGGTGCTCTGTCTATCGCCTTACTAAAATCTACGTAAATGACACGCAGGTATCCTAACATCTTTAGACTGACTTAACCTAACTTTGCCTGACTGTATGGAGGTTCGTCAAGAGAAACTTCGGCGAAAACCATGCTATGAGCAAGACAATAAAGTGCTCCTCTCCAGGTGAACTGTGATCTCTTTATTGATTACTCTTTCTGGGATTTTCACTATAGTACTAGTCATACTTATCTGTCTGCAGTCCGGTGAGAGCTGCCTAGAACCTGCCTTGTGGATAAGTGTTGCTATGGCATCCTTCCAGTCATAGAGGAGTGTGCCCTCACCGAGAGACAGTTTGAATACAGTAGTCAACCGGCCGGCCACGTAAAGCGTATGCTGTCTGAGCAGGTCTGGGTGCATCTCATTCTATCCCGTTGACTTTTCCGCGTCGAGATTACTTAACATGCGAAATATATATCATTGCGATCGATACCTGAAGAGTTAATTCTGTTGGATTTCAATGCCTTTGTTGGTGGATAAGTGTCCATGGAAGCTTCCTGCGTAAAGACCACAGCGAAATTTCCAGCCATGACTTCTGCTTTTCCCTGTCGTCCTCAATCAAACAGTCAGTCTCACCCCCCTTGATTGGGGTGGGTATACCGTGACACATCTTACTTCTATAGTTCGTACAAAAAAATAACCCCTTCGGATGTTGCAGTGCAGCCTGGCAAGACGTGTTTGAAGGCACATTTGAGACCAGCGGATAGCAGCGATACATTTATTTCAGGCCTCTTTGTAATGCTGCACCACTTCGGGTGCACTGAGGTGGGTGGTAAGACTCCAACACCTTTTCTAACATCGTAGCAAGATTCGGATTTCTTGCTTTGTCCACAGAGGACAATGTTTTATCCCCTCGGGACAGTCCACTGAATGAACGGTCGGGTCACTCGTGCAAATAACTGTCTGAAGGAGCACCACGCACTTTCAACTGAGGCTTCTGGATTGACTGTCTGTCCTCCGAAGTGGCTGCCGGGTTAATAGCTTTTAGGTTCGCCTTCTATATGTTGCGTCTAGCCAGGACATCGGTCTGGTACAAGACGTCTGCTGTGAATCTGAAGATGATTACAGCGTGATCACTTTTATCAAGAGATGCTAGGTGCTGGATGGAGCATACATCATCTGTGTGTGAGAATACTAAGCCCAGAACTGATATGGCATGCTGATGATCGTATCTGGTTACTGTCCTTATGGCTGTACGAGGGCCAAGGAAATTGATATTTCCACTAACCTGTGGTCAGATGAATTACGTGGTACTTTGTTGTTAGTCCATCCCAGTCAACTGATGGCGCGTTGAAGTCTGCTACAACTAGGCATCGGTATTTATCCATCCAGAGGATCAGCTTATTGAGGAGGAAGTCTGCTGCCTCATATTCAGTTCTTCGATACATTACGATTACGTTGACGTCTTGTCCCTTGCATTTTAGTCGGCAGTGCGGCATTTCACATGTCCCACTTTCATATTCAGACGTTTCTATGGCTTTTACAGTTAAGGCATTCTTAACGTGAAGGATGACACCATCACCTTCGCGTGCTAGCCTGTCACTTCTAAAAGGTAAGAACCCTTGTACGTGTGTTTCACAGTCACCGATTCAAGAAGAAATCCAGGTCTCTGAGATATCGATGATGTCAGGGCTTTCGTTGCTTAACATATTACTAAGCTCAGTCTACTTGTTTCAAAGATTACGTGCATTTGTGTGCAAAATAACAAATCTACTTAAATGAGTTTCCGTTCTATCCATAAAGGATTCGGCATCACCTGTTGCCGATACCTCACAGCACGAAAACCCACTACTTTCAAACCTTGCTCTCCAGCTGCTAGTTTGGATTTCAGTTCTGCATATTCGTTTAAACTCTTCTCGCTGCTGTTTTCTATCCGTTTTCAAATTAAATTAACCCAGGGGTCTCTTCCTCTTCTATATTTTGGTTCACCCTAGAAAAGAGCTCAGGAAAATCAACAGGTTTGCACAAACTCGTAAAAAGATATTGGATACGGGATCCATTTCTCTTCTTACTTTCTTTGGATAAGTCCTGGATCTCCTTATCTCCCTTTGAAGATCACTCTGAATAACTGCTTGGGAATATGAAGTCTGAAGATCCAATCTGCATCAAAATCCTAGGACAAATCAAACTTCTTCCTACAGAGCTGACCAACACCTAAAAGCCCATCAGATTTACCGATGTGTGTCTATATCTACTATATTGGAATTCCCAACGACTTAAAACCGTTCTAAAAGACTCAAGTTCGAGAGTGAAGAAACAAAGTATCTCGTGTAAGCCTGTCAAACAGACATTGGACATTGGATTGTTTTCTGACATCAGTACTACACAAGGAATACTATTGTAACAAATTTGAGACTGTAATTCAGTGGGGTTTTCGAATGGAATGGTTTGTGTAGAACAATTTTGTTCACTATTTCTTAGGAAGTGTGAAGTCTGACGTAGACAAGCCGTTCAAACTTAATGGACTCTTTCTCGCACCAGATGCTTCTCAGTATATATTGTCCATTGTCCAGCGTGTTGAACCAGGAAAACGCCGGAAGGTTCTACGTAAGCTAGTGGATACAATCCTTAAGCAAAAATTGAAAACAACAAGATATCAAGGAAATTATGTGAAGCAGCTGTCAAGGAGTGTAGAGCAGAACATTCCACAGATAGCACTGTTTTATACGTTGTTGATGCTTTTTCAGTAGGATTCCTGCCCACTTTACCGTTCGTCTTTTAAGGTTCCCTATTTCCGCTACTCAAAGTCTTTGAAAAAGTTCGTTCCATTTGCTTCTAACAAAGTGTCAGAAGAACGTTTGATATTTCCAGTCTCATCAGATGCAAAGGCCTTTTTGTACGCACATCGCTACGAGGTATTTCAGTGTTTTTAACCCATAGATATTTTGACTTTGTGTATAGAATGTTTCATTTTGAGGTTGTACATGCACAAAAGTGAACATAAGAACCACAGTCCTATTCGTAGCTCTCACCTCAAGCGTTCGGAAGTTATCTTTGACATTTCGGAACACCTTACTAGCGTAAAATACGAGGGAATTCTTGTCAGCTAAATTGCCTTCAGGGAAAAGTAAATTAGTCATCCTGCTATCTGAGGTGCACGAATGAGCATTTTTGAAGAAATAAGTCACTTCCAAGTAGTATCTTAAGATTATTTCCAATTAACACTTGCACGGTAGTCAAGATCCACTCTTTAGACATGATTATATTGATCTTTGCAAGACCTAGCCCAAGTTAGCGCAAGAGTGTAGCCGAGTGAAACTGCTCAGATGTATTTAGATTCAATCTTATCCACTCACCACATAGTACTCCCTAAGAAAATCTATCAAAATGTGCTACTAGTTATTTTTATGTGGTAAAGTAAATTGATACCACTATCCCGTATCTTCATAGTACGTTGTTGATTACGGTATGCTTATAAGTAGCATATCGATAAACGCAAAAGATCTACCAGATTTTTTGATGACTTCTGAGTTTGCTGTTGTACATTTTGGAGTGCTCCTAGATCCTATGTAGATTTTGTTCGTTGCCAGAATGGTAGTAAGGGCTTGGCGAAATATCGCAGAACTACAGAGGTGTCTTGAAATAGGGGATACTAAAGATATAGTTGATTGAATAGGATCAAAGGACAAAATACACGTAGGAAGACATAATCACCTGAACTTCAGTCGAATTTAATAGAACTGCACTCAGTAACCACCTGCACTATTTTGCAGTAGACAGGTAGTCGCATCTAATGTGTGGGCTAGTCATACATTCTGGAACCCCAAACCTCGGTTGGCGGGGTGGGGTTTGGACTCCTGACCCACCGCCTAGCAGTCCATTGCCCAGACCAATGAGCCACAGATCCACTGAACCTCAGTACTAAGGCACTTCTCTCAGTTGTCATTAAAAGAGAGTAGAATTAATATTTCTGTAAGTGTTGAGCTTCGGTTCCCCTAAGCTTATAATGCCCTCCACAGGGTTCTTTTTTAATGTATTTTCATACCTAAATTAACATTTTGCAGCGGCATTCCGATTGCTTCTTATCAATATAGTATGTATTTGATGATAACGTCCAGAATGGTATCGTCTTCCGCCATTATTCATATCTCCAGGACGGAACAGACCGACAGACAAGATCAACGTAGAATCTCACACAGAAGTGCATCGGCTCAAGTTGCCACACTTCACAGCAGAATGAAAAGAGCAAGTAGTTGGGAAAAGACTAATACCAAGGTAAACACAGGTATATAGGGGGAGAAATTGAAAAGTGAAGGTCGGTGAAAACACTTAAGCTTTGGAAGACGTTAGGGTGAAAGCATATATGTCATTGTGACCGATTTTCAACCATGTCATCAAAATTCTACATACATGGATCCTATCATCTTGGGGACCTCAACCAAGCAGTGTACACTCCCCACATGGCTCAGACCAACAGCCAGGGACTTCATGAACTGGTGACACATCACAGTCTGGCAACTCTGAGCCTACTTCCAACCTCTACCAGCATTGCACGTCGAGGTGGCCGGTGATTTAGTGTACACAACACATGTTCAACCCACTTCAGTCGTTGAACGTGCGTCAGTAATGCTACGAAGACACCTGTGGGGAAAAAAGTAGTCTACTTTATTTTAGTATTTGTATTTCCCAGTGAATGTCAAACAAAATAAATTTGTTTCAACTTCTTTTCAAACCATCAAATCCCAAATTGGTTTGGATATCTAAAAACTATAGTCTCTTCATATATTTTGCTACTAACGACCAGGTCTCAGCCGCGTAACAGAACGAACTCCAGCGAACAATACTCATCCTTTACTAGGCGATTGGATATCATGATAGTCGGCACCAGAGATGATGTGATTTGACGAATGTCAGACAGGACTATTGTATCTAAGTTGAGATTTCATCAGCACCTGACCTGAGAGAAGTGGCCAACACATTCTACCACTTCACTCCCTACCCTTAATTGAGAGCATTCAAAGATCAGTCCTAAAGCACTACCTCACATTTGACAGGTGCGAAAAGCATGCCAAACATACTCAGGATTCTGCTCAACCCGTTCACAAGACCCTACATTTTGTCAGCGTCTTCATCTGACATAACAATATCGTCACCAAGTCAACCCGGTGACCTTCAGGGGTGATATCAGTCTCTTTGAAGTCAGAGGTACCTAAGGTTATTTCTGTTAGTACATATATAACGAAGTCGAATGGGAACGGTGACTGGACATATCTGGCGGACACCACTAGTTTTCGTCAATTCTGATGACAACTCTTTGCCCTTAGAAGGCTGCATGAGTTCGAGTAGAGGGCTCTGATTAGGGTTATATACTTCCTTGATACTCCCTTAACAATCAGACTGCCACAACACTTCAGAGTGGAATACGCCTTTAGGTCGAGAAATGTGAAGTCTTAACCATTACTTGGTATGTGTTCTAAAACCTGTTAAAGGGTGACAGTATGATAGCTGCATCGTCGTCCACGTCAGAAACCTTCCTGGTTCCCTCAGTTTGTTGTTTTTGAGTTCTACTTAGGCTTTAGATAACTATGAACTTATAGATCTTGGACGTGATAGTAGTCAGTAATTCTCTTATGGTTGTTACAGGAAGACTCCTCTTACTTCTTATAAACCGAAACGATCAGTGAATTAGACCAGTTTGACGGGACTACCTCTGACTCCCATACACTACGAAGTATCTCCGTTACTCTAATCAGCCATTTCCTACCTGGAAACTGCAGGTGGCAAACTCAGTTCCTTCTGCTTTGTATCGTTTCAGGTTCGACACAGCCTTCTCAACTTCAAGAAGAGTTGAAAGACCGACATCTATGTCTCATTCAGATCCAAGCTGGATGCTGGGCAACTAAAGCGTTGCTGAGGGCCACTTAAACTATGCATCGAAGGGTGCCGCCCAACGTTCTAGCTGTCTGTCGCTTAAAATCATCAGCGCCCTATTTTTTCCAGTGACGATCTTACTAGCCATCATCCTCTCCCTACAGGTATCTTTAATAAGCCTAAATAGTAGCTAGGTATTATGCAGCAATGATGCCTTCATCTTTCTTGTCCTCGCCACCCACCGTTCTGCTCGTGATCATTGTGAGAACTGTTGGTCTATGTGCGTCTAAGTTGATTTCGCTCTTTGGTGTGGTCACAGCCAAATGGAATGAGTTTTATTAGATTAATCAGTTTAGATGGCGTCGCGGAAATCCATTGACGTTTAACCTTCGGATGTAGGTTATCAATCGTTTCTTCCTCTATAACGGGCTTAATATCACGCCACGTTTCCGCAGGATGAGGATTGGCGTCACGTTCAGATAAATGCTTAGCTATCTGACTAAATACCTACCTGATCTCATCTTCCAATCGAGCATGCACAGGCCTGTTTTCTGAGACCAGTAAGGCACAGACACACGTGCCCTTACTGGCGCTTGATCGAAGTCCAAACATGCTGTAGAAAGAGTGATAGTTATCTAATAATTACTTGTAGCGGTGTTATTTGCATGCTTCCATCGTTGGTTTGTTGTCACCGAACACCAATTAAGACATCATCTCTCCTCATGCTTGAAATTAGAGCTGACTAAAAACAAGTTATTGTCGAAAGAAATTTGTAAGAGACGATCACCCTATGTCAGTTCGTTGGCATGGGATACCGTTGTTACCCCCAAGTGCCTTTCCGATCTGCTTAGCTTCCTTACTTGAGCTCTGAAGTCATTTGTTACTATGACCATCTGAACGTTTTTGCTTGCTGTCGAAAAATTGAGAGCTTTGCACAGAAGTCATTCTTCGCATCATCCGAAATGCAGTTCGTGAAGGCGTAGGTGGAAATTACAAATAGGCATTGCCTAGTCCCACGATTCACCCCCCAGTTCTTATAGATCCATTCAGTGAAACAGCACACAGATGGTTGTTCACTGTTATCCAGTCGAGAAGCGCAATTTCTTTCCTATAGCTCAATGCTGTGCCTACAACAGCAAGTCCACGAGAGCTAGCTACTGTCTCTGGATATTTGTGAGGTAAATTTTGAAGATTCGCCACACTGGTCAGTTGAAGTCAATTTAATGAACACACTAGTGTCATGGATACGAACGTGTCTCAGAGACAGCATACATCTATGATTGGAGATTTTGGAATTGTGGTGAGTGATGCTTGCTGTTGGGTTTGGCATAGGCTTCGAACGTTAAAGGGTGCAGTGTGAAGTCAATAGCAGGATCTTAGGAGACCAGGAATGGTGTTCTGTGGCTTCAGTCTTTATAAGCAGGCCCATAGTGAGAGGTTGCGTAAGTTGTATGAGGTTTAGCATTGAAATCAGAAAGTGAAGGAGATAAATGTAAGAAGAGCAAGTCATTTTTATTGCGTTTTGTATACTACTGAAAGTGTGCAGGAGGTTGACACTTCACTGCTGTCCTCACCATTGAAGACATGTCCCCAATGAGGTGGCTGAAAAAGTTGGGTTAGGGTGTGACTGCAGAGCCTCCGGCGCGCCTGCTCAAGGCTAGTCACTCATGTTTTTTTTTAGAACTTAGAGGTTTTAGTTTGCCTCACTCGAATCGGACTATGAACTCGTATCGCCGTCACCAGTATCCCACGGAATAGAGGAGAGTATACTGTTTCCGAGTCGACACTTTGTAGTCCCCCCTTTTCAAAGGAAAAGCAGCATCAGCGTGGCGCTGCCGGTCATCCGCAGGAAACACACTTGTCCCTTCCTCTTTCAGCCATCAGTTCAATTTCGCCTTGAAATCCCCATCTTTGCATAATAATCTACATTATTACGGTATCTGCTTTTTGTATCATCACTGTCCAGCGAACCTTTCTGGACATAGAGCGGACAAACGTCCCACCAGCATAGCTGGCTGGATCATTATGATATGCAAGCCCCACC